TTGTGGTTTTAAACTTCAGCTTTCAATCCTGAATAACACTGAAAATAGGTCCGATGAGGGTTGTGTTCTTGTTTCGGGGGCTTCTGCCTTGGAGATTTGGTTTTTAAGTCTTTTAAGGCCTGCGTTGGGTAGAAGGTGACTTGCTTAATTGTAAACATCAATTGCATTCTGGGTTCACAGAATAGTGAATTTTCTTTCAGTTGCACTATTAATCAGTTTCTCAGTTGAAATAACCTTTTGGGGGGGAAATAAATCTCTGTCACTTCAGATCTTATAGGACCAAGATGTTGGTGTTAGTAGAACATTTTTTTTAAGTGCAGAACTGATTTGTAAATCTCTGTTGCTCCTAAGAGTATTGGATTCAGATTTAACTCAGACTTGTTTTGAATTAGGGATGCAGTCCATCAGTCCCAGAAATAATTTTCAACTACATTGGTGTTCTGTTTATACAGCTCAAAGCTAAAGGGCAAAAACCTATCAGTGGATTCACACTTCAATATTTTACACTGTTGCAAAGTCTAATGAATATTTTTCCATGGTAATTTTTCCTTATGAAAAGAGAAATTTTGAAATGTGTATCTCTGTTTCATTATGGGTGCTTATTATAGTTGTGGAAGAGGAAATTTCCAGATAAAATACTACATCTTTTCTCTATATTAGTGTTTCTGAACCTTGGTAAGTGGAAGATGCACGGACTTCACTTCCAGCATCACCTGGCCAAGATTGAGAAAGGCTGTTTTATATCATTAACGTCAGTCTTCCCCGCCACTAAACTTTGCCTTCTCGTGTTTTGGTTCCACACCGGCAGACTTTAGCCCTCATTCAAACAATTGTGGTGTTTCTTTTACCTCTGGTAATAGCTATTAAAGCAAATCTTTTGCAACTAGTTATTACTGTGTAGCGTGATATGGCATTAGTATTACTGTGTATTTTAAATGGATGGATTCAGAGGAAACATTTAAATCTTTTTTAAAAGTACCAATAATGACATTACTTTTGAAATATACTTAACTTTGATAAATATCTGACTCTGAGTTTGTACGACAGTTTAAGTTACAGGCATAGTTATTGGTGTGCTGACTTCAGCTCTGGGTTTTATGGCAAAGAGCATAAAAAATGGAATATGAAATAGCAGGCAGTGAATAACTCTTCTATGATATTTTTTTTTCTATTTCTTAAAATTACATACATGCATTGATGAATTGATGAATTGTTACTGTTAGGTGTTTCTCTAAAAGAAAGAAATCCTACGTTACTTTGTAACTATTGCTAGCCTGGATGATCATGGAAATCCCCTCAGGCCTTGTCTCATGAGTGTATACAATTTCTTGCACCCATATTGTGTTAGATTATTTTGTGTTCTTTGGCATTGTTGTTTTGCCCCTTATCTTTATGATTGCATTTGCTAGTAACCCTTAAGTGACAAGGTATATGTACCTTTACTCAGCTGGGATAGAAAACATGGTGAGGTTTTGTCAGGAAATAGTGGCCATTTTTTAAAAAAACACATTATTTTTTAGCTAATAATGTACTAGAAATATTCTGATTGGACAACTGGAATGGATATATGATTACATCATCATACATAAGTTCACAGCAATTACCAGCCTTAAGAATTGTTTACATGACTAGTCTGAGATAAGTGACATGGCTATTAGATTCTTAGCAAGTGAGCTAAGAGGCGGCTTCCACCTATCCAGGCCAGATCTCCAACTTGGCAACTTTAAGATTTGTAGACTTCAACTCCTAGAATTCTCTAGCCAGCATGGTTAACTGAGGAATTCTGAGAGTTGAAGCCAACAAGTCTTAAATTTTCCAAGTTTGGAGATTCCTGATGAAATAGAGCACTGTGGTTTGTTATGCTGCTCATCTCTGTATGGAATTTCTAAGGTTAACTGAGTGAAGCATTTTTTGTCAATGATCTTTGTCAAGTTTATTTTTTTAAAAAAGGTTTTTTATTTAGGTGACCTTCAGAAATGTACTATCACGCACCGTTTTGAAGATAATGCAAAATCTCTTTTCAATAATTTGCCATGTTTTACATCAAATAAAAGATGGTTAGGCAATGTAGCACTTGTAACACTTCCAGAGGGTGGCTACAAGTTACTTTACAAATGGCTGAAGAGTTGCACAGTTTTCATTTTCTTGTATGAAATTTTACAACATTTCAAGCAAGAACTCTGTAATGTCGTGGAATCTTGGGAACAAAATTGCTACAGTCTTGGCAAGTTTGGGGCAATTGTTAAATTTTTGGACACCTACAAATTAATTGATTGTAGGTATTCCAATAGAAATAATTTCCATTTTTAAAAAATAACTTTTGTATATAACACTTATTACTATTTCCGATTATTTAAAGCAAAATTAGTTTTAACTATTGAGAATTGTTAAGACCTATTACGCTATTTTGTTTCTGTTTACTGAATATAGTAGTCTCATTATAGTTACGAAGAATATTTAGAAGTCCCATTGTCGGTCACTCTTATTAAATGTGCCCAGATTTTATGCTTATAAGCAAAACTCTCAGCAGTGCCCATCTTCACTGTCTGAGCAGTAGCATCATTAGGAGGAAGTTACGAGGTTCATGGATTCCCTCCCAGTCCACTGGAGAATCCTTAAAATGTCATCATTTTTAAAAAAGTTTTCCCCCAAGTTGTCCTGATTTGTCAATGTTGATGTGTGTGCGTGAGAAGGAAAAGAATAGGCCTTTTAAACTGAGCTGTCCTTTGTTTGCCAAAGCAAAAATCAGCTCATTATTCTGTGAGCATTTTTTTTTTTTAATGCAGCATAAGCTGGTAATTTTTACCACTCACTTTTACCCTGCCAAAAAAAAAAGTGTGAACGCTCACATAAAGTACTGCTGGTGTGTTTCCTTTAGAAACGTTATCTTCTATTTGCATAGGGAGAAAATTAGTGAAGTCATGTAAACATATCCCAAAGTTGTTAGCTTTAGTTTCTAGAGAGGAAGCAGATTGGCAGAGACAACCTGGTATGGATCTTGTCCAGTTGCAGGATCACTGCAATCAGTTGCTGGCTGGTGTTTTAGTTGGGTGAGGCAGGAAGAATTGCCTCTATTAATCACACCGGGATTAAGAGCTAGGTTCCTAGTATTTATACCAGATCTAGATAGTCCACAAACCTCACATTTTCTGCCATTCAGAGGCCAGTGCTGGCCACCGTGACTCCTCTATGTACCTGAGGAAAACTTTACAGACTCTGAGTCCACACAGGCCTTGTTTGTTACCACTTGCTTTGGCCCTATTTGTCGTAATGTTTGCCATTAAAATTAGTGACAAGAATTCTCGGTTTGTTGCCAATTTAAAACTACCAGGGAGAGAAAAGCCTTTGTAAAGTTTGGTGCTGGCATCTAGTGGTTATTCAAAATTATTCTATCTTACACAAGAATGCATAATTTTGAGGAGAGAGATACAAGGAAGAAGATATTGCCTCCTAAAATTTTAATATGGAATTGTAGGCTTTGAAAGTGTTTTCCAGAGCCACATACATATGTATGCACGTGTACATAATAAATACATATGGATTTATTGGCCCATTCAAAGTCTTGCCATTCCAGTAAGGTTTGTGAACATATTTATTAGCTAACCCAGCAGCTTTTCAATCAACCAGAATAGAGCTGGAAGGGATCTTTGAGGTCTTCTAGTCCAACCCCCTGCTCAAGCAGGAAACCATTTCAACAAATGGTTATCCAAACTTTTCAAAAACGCCTTTACTTGATTGAATAAAGAATTAGACCTACAAATCAATATAAAGTTGCAACCCCTCCTTTCTCACAACAAACACAATTAGAAGACTGGCCAAGGGAAGCTAAGGGACCCCAAACTATGCCAGAATGACAAGAAAGTACCAGGTGAAGTTGGGTCTTTTGCGAATAGTTAGAGAAAAATAAAATATTCCAAAGGAGATGATTTTAGGCAAAAGGCTTAGAAGAGCCTCTTTGTTTTTCTAAATGGCTAATTTCTGAGGTGTACAACAGCCTTTTTGGACAAAACTTTGAGATGAAATTAAAATTGGGGGTTGCACTGTTACCCAATATATCTGATCAACTTCTGCATGCTGGCTTTTCTTTTTGATAGATAACAATATTGGATAAAAATAAGTATTGTAACAGTAACAATACTGTAACAATAACAGCTGTAACAGCATTGGATCATGCCAGAAGTTGTAATAAGCATGTTGTAATAAGCATGCCTCTTAAAAGCTTCCAACATGGCAGGTTTTAATTGTTCCACTCCATTAAAATTAAAATCTGGTTTCCATCTATGTCAAAAAATCAGCCAGGAAGAGTGGATTTTTGACAAGTAATCAGTCAGACGGTTTGAAAGAAAGTTGTTTGAACTGAGCAACTGAGGAAAATGATCCCATAATTTGAATAGTTATCACATTATTTATGAGAGCTTGTAATTTACCCAACTTTATAAATGCGACAAGGAACCAAGCAAGATAAATGTCATTTCTAGACTCCAGAACTAGTTTTAGTGGCAATGCTTGATCCCACCGTGCCTCAGTGCATCTACACAGTATGCTTTTCTCCTATCACAGAAGTAATATAAAATCTGTCCTTGTCTCCATGCTAAGCTTAGGTATGTTGTTTATCTTCTTCATTCTCCCTTTCTTCTTTCAGTGAAGACAGTGCATAACTAAGCAGCTTTTCACTACAGGGTGGGGTGACTTGAAGGGTAACAAAAGTTTTTTTAGGCCTTCCGCTGAAAGGTTGATGTGAGGATCTTTTACCGCTAGGATTGTAACATAGAATTAACCTTCCTTCTGTTTTGAAAAGAAGTGCCAGTTTCTATTATAAGCATATCATTCTATTTTACAAGGATTTTTTTGTAGGCTGCTTTATCCCCGCGTTGCCCGGCTGGCTCTTAAAAAACAAATTGGATCATAAAAATTCATGCCAGAAAATAAAGCAAGACAAAATAAAACTTCCATTTAAAGTTGCTGTGTTTTAAAACCTATTTTAACCTAACTATCCTGTCCCACATTTCTTTTTTTCAGGCACAGGAGAAAGTGGGAAAAGCACCTTCATTAAACAGATGCGGATAATCCATGGCTCGGGCTACTCTGAAGAGGATAAAAAGGGTTTCACCAAACTGGTGTACCAGAATATCTTCACTGCCATGCAGTCAATGATCAGGGCTATGGAGACCTTAAAGATCCTATACAAATATGAGCAAAATAAGGTGAGGCTTATTGCTGCAGAGCAGTCTGCATTTCTTTGTCCTTTTTTTCTCCCAATTTAAACTTTTTATTAGTTTTTCAAAGTATAAAATAGAAAGAAAGAGTATCACAAAGTAAGAGATGGAAGGAAAAAGAAGGGATATAGTATAATGGGAGAAAAGAAAAGGGAACCGACTCCCGACTCTCTTTAGCACAGTAGAAGGTAACAACATTACAACCACAACTTTTTGCTTTTACACAACAGTATGTACAAGCCATTTCTATACCGATAAGCCTGTCTAGTTTACAAACACAAAAGCCTGCATTTCTTTGTCCTGTCCACTTTGCAGAGGTGGGCTGTGCAGAATCCATAATTCAGAGACCTCAAAGAGCAGCGCAAACTATATTCAGAAGTTGGCTTTTGTAAGAATCTAAGTATGGGTAGTCCTCGAGTTACGACCACAGTTGGACCCAAAATGTATATTGCTATGTGAAACATTTCTTAAGAGAGTTTAGCCCCATTCTGTGACTTTTCTTGCCACAGTTGTTAAGCGAATCACTGCGTTAAGTTAACAACGTGGTTGTTAAGCGAATCTGGCTTTCCCCATTGACTTTGCTTGTCAGAAGGTCACAAAAGTTGATCGTATGACCCCGGGACACTGCAGCCATCATAAATAGGAACCAGTTGCCAAGCATCTGAATTTTGATCACGTGACCATGAGGATGCTGCAATGGTTGTATGTGTGAAAAAACAGTCTTAAGTGGCTTCAGTACCCGTTGTAACTTTGAACGGTCACTAAATGAATGGTTGGAAGTCGAGGACTACTTATATATCTGTGTCTGAGTAGTGAGGCATAAACCTGTTTTAATTTCTTTTATCCCATGCCATATTATTGGATGGTGCATGCCCAATGGGTCTAGACCAGGGCTGTTCAATCTTGGCATCTTCAAGACCTGTAGACTTAGATACCCCAAATTCTCAGCCAGACACGCTAGATGAGGAATTCTGGAAGTTGAAGTCCGTGGGTCTTAAAAGTGGTCCAGATTGGACAACCCTGGTCTAGAGGAAAAGGTGATTTTTTTTTATGGGCAGAAATGCTCTGGGAAACAACTGTGAATTGACCACCAGCTGAATTTTGCACTGGATCCTCCTGCTCTGTTGTTGTTAACGTACAACTCCAGCATAGGGATAGAAAAAGGAAATGAGTAAAAATCCCAAAGATGATTTTTCAAGAGGCAACTGGACTTCCTGGTTTTTTTTTTGAAGATGTATCACTTCTCATCCAAGAAGCTTCTTCAGTTCTGAAATTCTGAGTTTCGGAGAACAGAATTGAAGAAGCTTCTTGGATAAGAAGCAAAACGTCTTCAAAAGAAAAACCAGAAAGTCCAGTTGCCTCTTGAAAAAAGCACCTTCGGGACAACCATGGTGTGGATGACTGAGAATCTCCCTAGAGTAAACAGAAGGCAATTCCTGTTGAAAGGGCGGGGATAAAATCCAAGTAAGCCATTAACACCAGATTTGCTCTCTCCTCTCATCCCGAATGAAGGCCAATGCACTACTGATCCGAGAAGTGGATGTAGAAAAGGTTTCGTCCTTCGAACAACCCTATGTAAGTGCAATTAAGACATTGTGGAATGACCCAGGAATCCAAGAATGCTATGACCGGCGGCGAGAATACCAGCTCTCTGACTCCGCTAAATAGTAAGCCAACTTACTGTCACTTTTTTATATCTTCCCTTTCTGAAAATTTAAAAGGAAGAGGGACTTTTGGAAGTTCCTCTTCTTGAGTAGCCTGAATTCTCTTCCGTGTAGTTTTAAATCCATTGGTCTGGTTTTTTCCTTTGGAACTATAGAAACCATTCCTCCTATGTAACAAGCTCTTAACATTATTCCAGTATTGTGTATTTGATGATGTTGTATCTGCCCTCAGTTGTAATTTCTGCAGGCTACGCGTACCTGAATCCCTTAATCGTTCTGTATAGGGCTTGGTTTCCAGTCTCCTTTGAATCTTGCTAGCTCTCCTCTGAATCTGCTCCAGTTTGTCCCTGCTCCTTTTGAATGGTGGTGCTCAGACTTAGAGGAATGGGACTACATAGAGTAGATGGTTATTTCCTGTGTTCTGAGCATAGAGTGCGCTCCCAGGATAATATTTGCCTTTGGAGCTCCTTGGTCTTTCATTGGAGTAAAGCGGTAAGGAACTATTGGTGTTGAGGCAACGTTGGTGGTGTGGGAGAAAATATTTGAACTTTTGAAGATTTTGCAGTCTTAATTTGCTTGATATTTATTGATAGTCCTATTGAAAGAGCTACGCAGAACACATATGCTTCTATGGCAGAGGTCTCCAAACTTGGCAACTTTAAGAGTTGTGGACTTCAACTCCCAGAATTCCTCAGCCAGCTATAGCTGGCTGAGGAATTCTGGGAGTTGAAGTCGCAAGCCTTAAAGTTGCCAAGTTTGGTGACCCCCTCTCTATGCTGATGGTCCTTCCCTTTTGATCTTACGTTGTGGTATGAGTAAGGCCATAGTTTTGTTGTTTGTATTGATCAAGGTTTCTTTTGCAATCTGACAAGTTTCAGGATCTCATGTTCATTTCTACATTGGTATTTTCATGCTGTGCCTCTGAGTAGCATCCAGGTTAGATTTTTTGCTCCATGCATCAAGTTGTGTAGATGGGATGCCCAGTTGTGTGCAATTTCTAATATATCTGGACTGGAGGTGTTTGGTGAAAATATATATATGAAATGTACCACCCTCTCTTCCCTGCACACCTAAAGAATAGCCGTTGAGGGAGCAAAGCTTTCTTATCGTGTAGAATTGCAACACTCAGCTCCTTTTCAACCAGATCCATCAATCTAGGGAACATTGATCCAGCTTAGGAATAGGGGTGTTAGATCACCTCCCTCTCTTCAGAAGGAAGCGGCTGATACTGTAACTTAGAGGTCTCCAAACCTGGCAACTTTAAGACTTGTGAACTTCAACTCCAAAATTTCCCAGTCAGGCTGGCTGAAAAATTCACAGCTACATCCTTTGCCTTGTATTTTTGTCTTTGGGTGAATTGTATCCAGGAGAACGCCTATCTTTATAGGTGATGGGAAGTTCGATAAAAGGTTTGGGAGTACTTGTGCCTTACCACAACAGAGGATATAAATTCTATATTCTTGGATGTAGGATATTGGTGGAAACCAGCCTTGAAAGTTTGAGCAACTGAGCAGTCCTCCTGTATCAGAGCTCTTTTATCATTCTCCGTTATAATCTTCTCTTCTCAAAGGCATTTAGTGTGGCTGCCAAACTTAAGCCTCTTCAATCTTTCCCTCACACATGCTTTTTGTAGCTACCTTACTGATGTGGATCGTATTGCCACCCAAGGGTACCTCCCAACCCAACAAGACGTCCTGCGGGTCAGAGTCCCAACAACTGGGATCATAGAATACCCCTTTGATCTCGAGAACATTATATTCAGGTAACTTTTTTTCATGGACACCTGATATTTACATGGTACTTTATATAAAAAGCATACTACGATTACATGTGTCTGTGGAGTTTGGGGAAGCAAATGCCTTTTCTTAACCATGTTGTTCTGTATCTTGTTGATGTGTCTTGTTGATAAATGAAGCTTTCCAAAGAGATTGTCACTTTAATGTGGTGCAAGAACTCTCGAGCTTTTTTTACCCTGACCACGATGTCATCAGGCATACCCTCCGTAACATTACCTCCAGTGGGAGCCAGCTTGGTCTAGTGGTCAAGGCATTGGGCCAGAAACCAGGAAACCTTAAATGCGAAAAGGACAAGAAAATCAATATAAAATAAGATAAAAAATTCAGAAAAAGTGCAGCCAAGATAAAATTCCTCAAGTATAATTAAGGAAGGGACTTAATACAGGCCTATTAGAAGGAAGATGGAGAAACTATACAGAAACCTTTAGTGGGAAACAGAATGATAGAACCAGAGAAACTTTTATAGAGAAATTAAATTTGACATCACCGGAAAGTGAGATACGACAGACAGTACAGGAAGTCAATACAAGAGCAGCTGTAATGCCAATTTAAATGTTAGGAGAACAGTTAAAGAGTTAGAGGAAGGACAAGCAAATATGCTGTCAAATATGTTATCCAAGAATATGGAACAAAATAGTGTGACCATAGGTTTGGAAAGGATTGAGACACACACACACATATATATGAATGATTGAAGAAGGGAGTTGAGAGAGAAAGCATTTTTTTTTTGAATCAGTACTAACATGAGAAAAATGGTATTGAGCTCTTGCAAGAGGATAGTAGAATAACAGAAGGAGGGAGAAATGTCAAATGAGCCAAGACCAGCTTGCAAACAAAAGACAGACAATACAGGAAGGCTTGCTTTTGTTTATTGATTATATGATTGCTTAGTTTATGCCAGAATGTAGAAGATATTAAGGCTAATTATGAATCAGAACACTTGGTGGTGGTTTTACCATTGGGACAGGATATCAAACCTTGGCAACTTTAGGACCTGTGGATTTCAACTTCCAGAATTCCCAACTAGCTGGGAATTCCAGGAGTTGACGTCCATCGATCTTGAAGTTGCCAAGATTGGACACCCCTGTTTTAGGGGAACTAGAAGCTGCTGAATTTTGAGTAGTTCAGAACAGGAAAGATTCATGTTATTGCCATCTCTGTAAATTCAAGTGTGATGTAAGAATGGCAGGATTAGAAAAGTGGGAATCAACAATTATTGTGGCAGCGTTGCTTAAGACACGCAGGTTACACTCGCAGAAAGTAAAGAAGAGCTAGAAAACCTAATTATAAACACTAACAATGGGAAGTGACTAATCCGAGTTCATGTTAAATATTAAAGAGATAAAACCGACGTGAATTCGCTGCTGTAGAAATGAAGGAAGATGGGGGCTGTATTTGTTTTCTTGGGCTGAGGAATAGATAAACATGGTAGTGCTTGCTGGAGACATAAAGAGGAGATCAATCTTAGGAAGGAAAGCAATGACAAACAGAGATAAGATTAGGAAGGATTTCTATGACAACAAGAATCATAACAACAAAGCAGCAGTTTTCCCAATGGTAATATATGGCTATTAAACCTGGAGCTTTAAAAAGAGCAAGAGGAAGCAAAAAGGCGCTTTTAAATTACGGATTTTGAGATGGTTACCAGGTTCAGTAAGGCTCTTATTTTGAATAGCAAGGATTCGTCATTCAGTCCTGGGCCTGCCTTGTGTCTGTCTGTCTCTTATATTTGTTAATCCACTCAGTCATAAAACCCTGGGCAATGGATTACAGAGTAATAACAGACCAAATCTTTGTAACCCATAAAATAGTTAAAGATAAAAACAAATATATACAGGTATAGAGGGAAGTGTCTTATGCCAGGGCTAAAAAAAACCTCATTAAAAAAAGCAAGTTTTCATAATCTTCCTAAAGAGAAACGAAGGTGCCTTTTGAACCTCTTTTTGGGAGATGCCTTCAAATCAGTGAATTCCTGGTGATTGTTTGGACGAATCCCCAGTTTTGGCAAGGTTCAGCCAATACCTTCTTCCTGATGCGAAGAGAGATCATCTGGGTCAACGTTATCCAGCTGACTCTATGCATTGCAGGGAGGGGATAAATTACAATTCCTAGATTCCTGATTTCTAGCTCAGTGTTTTTAACCCAAACTGTTGTGTTCTTTGAGCCTCTAAGGATAAAGTATTCAACAACACGAGGATTGTTGCCTTATCCAAGTTCCGTGATCCTTGCAAGGATGAGAGGCTAGTTGCAGTTGCGTGCTCAGACTGAATGAATGGCATTAATTATGGCAATAATGGCGGTGAAGGCATCAGGCTAAAAACCAGGAGACAGGGACGCCTGGTCAGACTTTAGGCACGAAAGCCAGCTGGGCCAATCACCAGGAGACTGTGAGTTCTAGTCGCAGCTTAGGCACGAAAGCCGACAATCACTGGGAGATGGTAACGCCTAATCCCGTTTTAGGCATGTAAAAACGGTTGGGTGACCTTGGGACAATCCCCAGGCAGCTGTGAGTTCTAGTCCCACCTTAGGCAATAAAGCCAGCTCAGTAACCTTGGGCTAGTTGCGGTCTCTGAACCCAACTCAGTTCACAGGGCGATTGTTGTGGACAAAATAGGAGGAGGAAGAGAGATTGTGTATGTTCCCCGCTTGAATTATTTTTGAAAATGATACGGGTGGGATATATGTAAATAGATAAATAAACCCAAAATTCACATGCTTTAGACATGTTACACGAGCAAGGTATAGATTAGGAAAAAAAGGGTGGAAGAGGCAGAAACTCACGTTCCTTCAGCCTGTCTTCATAGGGCAGATTCTCAAGCCCCCGTATCATCCTCGCTGTTCTCCTACGGACCTCTTCCAACCTGTCAGCGGCCTTCTGGGCCTGGATAGTCTAGAGAAGAGAAGGACCAGGGATCCCATGATAGCAGTCTTCCAATATTTGAGGGGCTGCCATAGAGAGGAGGAAGGGGTCAAGCTATTTTCCATAGCATCCGAAGGCCAGACAAGGAATTAATGGATGGAAACTGATCAAGGAGAGATTCAACCTGGAAATAAGGAGAAACTTTCTGACAGGGAGAACAATCAACCCATGGAACAGAAGTTGCCCTCGGAAGTTGTGGGAGCTTCATCCCTGGAGGCTTTAAAGAAGAGACTGGACTGCCATCTGTCAGAAATGGTGTAGGGTCTCCTGCTTTGGCAGGGGGGTTGGACTAGATGACCTACAAGGCCCCTTCCAACTCTGTTACTCTATTTTAATGACCTCAGACTAGAGTCACCTACAATGGAGGTGTCCAACCTTGGCAACCTTATGACTTGTGGACATCAACTCCCAGAATTCCTCAGCCAACCCTGTTGAAGTGCACAAGTTGCAAAGGTTGGAAATCCCCGATACGCAGCAGCCCCTCAAGCCTGATCCCATTCCTGCAGAGTGGGGTGCTTCCTGGCTCTTCAGTACAATGATAATCGGGAAGAGCCTTTGCAGGAAAGCTGGACAGAGGGCTCAGTTGCCCCTTCGTTCACCCAGTGGCAGTGTAATAGCATATTAGCATTAAGACTAGAAGCCTTTGGGGAAAAGATAAATTATTATAGCAGGGAATCTAAAGGAAATAAGCATCGCTACACAGACTACCTTTTGGACACCAGCCTTGCTGGTCCCTAACAATTCTGCTGTTGCCAACGTATAGGATACCCTTGTTTGGGGAGGGGAGGCGACTTGGGGATGGGGAGCGTCGACAGATCAATGAGCATTCACTGTTGTTTCCCCCCCCCCCCGCCCCTGGTCTGTCTCTTCAGAATGGTGGACGTTGGCGGGCAAAGGTCAGAAAGGAGGAAGTGGATACACTGCTTTGAAAATGTCACTTCCATCATGTTCTTAGTAGCTCTTAGTGAATACGACCAAGTCCTGGTGGAATCGGATAACGAGGTAAGCAAAAGGACTAGCGGCCGGCCTTGGCGTGGCGGGTTTGCTCTGCTGTTGATGGCCAAGCAGCTGGGAAGCTACCTTGTCACCTACTTTTAAAGAGACGATTTGGGACACGCTAGCGAGGGTGCCTTTTCCAGCCATTTGTCACCTTTCATCCCTGGAGTGCGAGAGTGAGCAAAGTGACTTTAGAAATCCTCGGCTTACAAGCTATTCATTTAGGGACCATTCAAAAGTCGCAACGCCACCCCCCAAAAAGCGACTTACGACGGTTTTGGACACTTAGGACTGTTATAGCATCTCCACGGTCACGTGATCAAAATTCAGCCGCTTGGCAACAGGCATGAATTTATGATGGTTGCCGCATCCCACTCGGGTCAGGTGGTCTCCTGTTAACGGCCTTCTGGCAAGCAAAGTCAGCAGGGGCGCCAGATTTATTTTGCAACTCTGTTACTAACTCAACTACTGCAATAACTTAAATGCAGCGGTTAAGTTTTAGGCAGGAAAAGGAAAAGTCGTAAAATGGAGGGGGAAACTCACTTAACAGTTGCTTCGCTTAGCAACAGAAATGTTGGACTCCGTTGTGGTCATAAATCAAGGACTGTTTATAGTTTACTCCAAGGGTGCCCATGTATGCAACTAGGTTGCGGAAATGGCAGGCGAGCGTGTACATGTGCATCCCCCGCCACTTGTGCGAGCGGCCGGAGAGGGCCTGCACACACGCTCCCTTGGTGTGACACATGGAATTGCATGGAAATATTTTCCTCGTCCACGGAGTTGGAAATATTGGGGAACTCTGGTTTACTCAGTCAGTTGCTGAGCCTGCAGCCACTCTCCTCTGAACATTTATTATGTATATTTATTTATACATATAAGAGCCTCGGTGGCGCAGTGGTTAGAGTGCAGTACTACAAGCTACTTCTACTGCGTCCGGCTGCCTGCAATTTGGCAGATCGAATCTCTCCAGGCTGAAGGTTGACTCAGCCTTCCATCCTTCCGAGGTGGGTAAGATGAGGGCCCAGATTGTTGGGGGCCATGATGCTGACTTTGTATAAACCGCTTAGGGAAGGCTGTAAAAAACCACTTTGAAGCAGTATAGAAGTCTAAGTGCTCTTGCTATTGCTATATAGGTTTGTCTAAATTCATCTGCAGGGCGGAATAACACTTGGGCAGAGGAGCTTTCTATGGACAGCCCTGTCCCTTGTGCTCCTATCATGCCAGCAACAAAATTCTGTAAGAAAGGGAAGCCCCTGTCCTTCCCAAGCCTTGGCTCAAGATTTTTTATTTTTTTATTTTTATTTTAAGGCGGGGTCTCATAGAAGGGCCGCCTTAGAGGAAGGACTTAGATGTTCCCTTCAGTTCCCTTTGCTGAGAATGACCCACAAAATACGGGTGGCGATCCAAGATTGCTACTTGGCTTCCAAAGTGATCATTTGTGGCCATTTCTATTCACACACCCCCACCCCCCACCCCCGAATATATAGAAAATCAACAAGCATTTGCCCCCCCCCCCCCCCCCCCCCACTTCTTATCAAACCTTGCAATCCATTCTCCCTTCACATGAAAACAACCAGGAGACGGGCTTGGATACCCACGTATAATATAGTCCTGCCTAAGCAGGGGGTTGGACTAGAAGACCTCCAAGGCCCCTCCCAGCTCTGTTATTTTATTCTTTTTGAGCAGGCAGACTTGAAGTTGTTCCTTTGTTTGCTGATTTTAACCTCCTTTCAGGATTCCTTTTTTGAAAGGCGTGCTGTAAAATCCGGAGGAAACAAAACTTCGGGGGGAAAAGATAATGCAAGGTATACAGGTAGTCCTCAACTTGCGACCACAATCAAGCCCAACACTTACGTTGTTAAGCTAGAAAGTTCTTGACACATTTTTTTAAAAAAACAATTTTATTGATTTTTTAAAAACAAACAAAACATAAAAGCATCAGCTCTCCTCCATACATATATACAAACAGTGTGTTGGTTGGTTCATCAGTTTTGTGCATTCATTTCGTAGTCTCAATTACAGTTACATTACATAATAACTCATATCATCAATCCAAACTTATATATCCTAGTATCACTATTAAAAAATCATTTGACTATAATTTTATTCATTCATACTTAATGATATGAGATAACTATAATTTAAGTAGTTTATTCTATAACAAATCATATAATCATACCAAATCTATCCTGAAAACACTTTCTAGATATGATGTCAAATAACAAAGTTCTTGACACGTTTTTTTAAGTGAATCCTTGCAGTTCTTAAATTAGTAACCGGGTTGTTACGTGAATCTGGCTTCCCCGTTGACTTGACTTGTCGGAAGGTCGCCAAAGGGGATCACGAGACCCCCCAGGACACTGCAGCCGTCATAAATGTGAACCAGTTGTCAAGCATCTGAATGTCAATTGGGCAACCTGAGGGATGCTGCAACCTTCATAAGTGTGACAAATGGTCACAAGTCACTTTTTGCCGTCGTAGCTTCGAACGGTCACTTAATGAACTGTTGTAAGTCGAAGACTACGTGTGTGCGGCTACATTTAAGAATCAAGTAAAGCTTAGTGCCAAAAAACCTGTGGAGATTTTTAGGGCATCCAATTTGCTTTCTAGGTTTTTTTTTTTTTTGGTAACTTCCTGCTATAGATGGAACCATGTTGTGTCCGACCCATCGTGACCCCATGGACAACGTTCCTCCAGGCCTTCCGGTCCTCCACCATCCTCCCGAGTCCATTTAAGCTCACGCCGACTGCTTCAGTGACTCCCTCCCAGCCACCTCACTCTCTGTCGTCCCCTTCTTCTTCTTTTGCCCTCGGGAACGAAATAGATCTCTGGGTTTTTTGCTCGAACAGAATGACCACGTAGAGACAGCTAAAAGCTGTTTATCGGGGAGAGAGAGTCTCTAGTAATCCTCAACTCACGACCACTACTGAGCCCCAAATCTTGGTTGCTGAGCAAGGTGAAGTGAGTCATGCCCCATTTTGCAATCTTGTTTTTGCCATGGTTGTTAAGCGAATCACTTCACCCTTGGGAAGTGAATTATACAAGTTGTGTGAATCTGGCCTTCTCTCTTTGACTTTGCTTATCAGGCTAAATACCTGCCAGTTGCAAAGCAGTCAAAGTGTTCAAATGAATGTGGGAATGCTGCAACGGTCGTAAGTGTGAGACCTGGTCATAAGTTAACTTTTTTCAGTGGGGTTGTCACTTTGAACGGCCATTAAATGAACCGCCAAAGACTAGCTGTACAAGCAGTTCTCGAGTTACGACTCCCAATAGGGAAGGAAAGTTTATCAGTGAGCAGTGCAGTCCTTAATTCAGGCGTCAAGGGACTCTGGCCAATTTTATGATTTTTTTTTTTTGCTGTGGTCGTTAAGCGAAACACATGACTGGGACTTGATAACGCTCCTTGCCAGTTTCTTTATTGAATTCGCTTATCGGAAGCCAACTGGGAAGGTCGCAAATGATGATCATGTGACTGCAACTATCGTAAAAAATGCACGTTAGTTTCCATGCACCCAAATCACGATCATTTGATTGCAGGGATGGTTTCTCAGGTTGAGAAACAGTGAATGAAGGTATGGTTGAAAACGGTTGCGGCAAACATTTTTGTGAGACAACGGGGAACAGATGTACAGGTGGTCCTCGATTTACAATAGTTCACTTAGTGACTGAAGTAACAGCAGTACTGCAAAAAGGGACTAATGACTGTTTTTCGTACTTATGATGGTCACAGCATCCCCATAGTCATGTGATCAAAATTCAGATGCTTGGCAACTGACTCATGTATATGATGGTTGCCTATCCCCGGGGTGTGTGTGTGTGTATGTTAGGTGATCACCTTTTATGACCTTCAAACAAGCAAAGTCAAAGGGGAAGCCAGATTCACTTAACAGCTGGGCTCACTACCTTAACAACTTCTCATTTTAGAGTGTCCTTAAGTCCCGAGTAAAAAAAAAGAAAATTCTCACCAGCCGATACACTTTTCCTTTCTGTCTCTTCCTTCCGGAGCTGTCACAGCTTCAGCAGCTTGATGGCTGCCTCTCCGCCGATGGTAAAGGAGCTGCTTCTGGATCAACCAGGGACTTTGCGGTGTCCCTGGGATCAGCAGAACGCACCCCCTTACTATCACCGTCTCTACGGGACGGTTTAGGTCCGTTAGGACCGACCAGGGGCGAAGATATCAGCTGCGATCTCGGAGCCCCGAGATTGCAGCTGTATCGCAGCGACGTGGCTCCGCCTTCTCCCCTCACTACCTTAACAACTTCAGTGGTTCACCTAACAACTGTGGCAAGGAAGCTCGTAAAATGGGGCAAAACTCACTTAACCACTGTTTTGCTTAGCAGCAGAAACGTTGGGCTCAGTTGTGATTGCAAGTCGAGGACGACCTGAACAAGGCTCCTCCAAAATGATGTAATCCTTATTTACCTGTTTGTTTGTTGTTTCATCCCTGGATCTAAAAAAAAACCAAAACACAACCCCTGCTTTTCCTTATAGAACCGCATGGAGGAGAGCAAAGCCCTTTTCCGGACCATCATCACCTATCCCTGGTTCCAGAATTCCTCTGTCATCCTCTTTCTCAACAAGAAAGATCTCTTGGAAGACAAGATCATGTACTCTCACCTTGTGGACTATTTCCCAGAGTTTGATGGTAAGAAGTTAAGTTTTCAGTAATTAAAATAGGGGATCAGCCCAGTAGTAGCTCCCCCCCCCC